CCCCAAATCATCTCAGAAAAAAAAAAACAACAACTTACTTTTTCTCCATTACCTGATGCAGTGATTCTAGGACCAGAGTTGCAACTACAAGTGTTGGGACAGCAAAGATGAATTTTGTTTTTCAGATATGGGATGTCACTGTATTGCCCAGGTTGGTCTCTAACTCCTGACTTCAATCCATCCTCTAACCCTCCCACAGAGCTTGGATTACTAGTATGGACACTGAGCCCAACTTTAAAAAAACATTTAGCAGGAATGCTTTCTAAGCAAAAAACTATAACCATGTTATTAAACCTTATGACAAAATTCCTGAGTGCTTGTGGGTGAGATGTGCCTTTACCACTTCTAGCAAAATTGGGGCTATCAGTGAATATGGCTGGTGGTAAAAATTGCTCATTAGTTCTGCAGCTATGTAACCTCACCCTATCTGAATGGGAGTGGACTGAGAAGGAGCTACTTGCTAGACTTGTATTGCTGCCTGTAATCTAGACCAGCACAGTGGCAATTCTAATGTCCCTTCAAAAAAGTTTGGAGATTAATGGAGAGAAGGAGAAATAGTAGCTGAGAGTAAACAATAAGTGGGTTATTAATTTAGGAAAATTCAATGTTACATTAACAACTCAAAAGAGTCTCAGGGCAAGAGATAACATTGCCTCTTAGCTCAGTGATTCCAGGTGCTTGAGAGGATGAAGCTGTGTATTTCCCAAGGCCACTCCTGCTTGTGGACAACACTGAAAGAAAGCCTACAAACTAGAATGTCCTCATCATCCTGGGAGACATTCATACATTATGATGGACTGGGCTAATTATTCGTGATTGTGTATATATGTATTTTTGATATAAAGGATCCATAGCAGAAAACCAGCAAGTAGGGCTGTGGTGTTATGTGTTAGTTTTCATCCATGGTTCCTGGCTTATAGACCTTGTTACAGTCTTCTGTTATAATGTTGGGTGTGCCAGGTCTCACGGGCAGGCCTCTGACCTTCTCTTGCCCTCTTATCGCCTATCCCAAGGCAGGACTCTAATCCAACTGTGGGTCTTACACCCCTTCCATGAGAGGGTCCTACCCTATACCCTGGGGGAAGGAATGCTAACATCATGAAGCTTTCATAAAAAGTCAAGGGGACAGGGTTCAGTGAGCTTCTGGAGAGCTGACCATGTGGACGCTCCTGGAGTTTCCAGGGAGAGCTTGGAAGCCCTGCACCTACATGGCTTCACTGTGTCCCCACCCAAATTTCATTTTGAATTGTAGCTCCCATAATTTCCACACATTGTGGGAGGGACCCAATGGGAGATAATTGAATCATGGGGGCGGGCGGTTTCCCCCATACTGTTCTCATGGTAGTGAATAAGTCTCATGAGATAGGATGGTTTTATAAGGAGTCTCCCCTTCCATCTGGCTCTCATTTTTCTCTTGCCTGCTGCAATGTAAGACATGCCTTTCATCCTCTGCCATGTTTGTGAGGCCTCCCCGGCCACGTGGAACTGTGAGTCCATTATACCTTTTTCTTTATAAATTACCCAGCCTCAAGTATGTCTTTATCAGCAGCGTGAAAACAGACTAATACAGCACCCATTCCCCCATACCTTGCCCTACATATTTATCTGTATCCTTTGCAATATCCTTTATAATAAACTGGTAAATGTGTTTCCCTGAGTTATGTGAGCTGCTCCAGCAAATTAAATGGACTCAAAGAGGGAGGCGTAGGAACCCCAATTTGAAGCCAGTCAGTCAGAAGTTCTGAAGGTCTGGATTTGCAACTGGTGTGTGTGTGTGTGGTGGGGGGCAGTTTTGGAGACTGAGCTTTCACCCAGTGGGACTGCCAGTATCTCCAGGTGGACAGTGTCTGAACTGAATGAGAAGACACCCAGCTGGTGTCTGCTGCTTGGTGCGTGGGGAAAAATCCTCTCACGTTTGTCACAGAAGTCTTCTTCTGTGTTGACTGTTGTGATGTGAGAGCAGGGGAAAAACGGTTAGAGAATTTTCCCCACAGGCATCAAGTGGCAATAAGAAATAGGCTGTTGTTGGTAAATTTGGATTATGGATGGATACTTTGGCAGGAGATAGAAATGTGAAGCTTTCTGAATGGGTATAAAGCTGTGGGACTGTTTGGATGACTTAAGGAGTAAGGGAAGGTACAGAACAGAAGCAGTCCACGAGTACGGCCTGTGGTGCCCAACATGCAGGGGCTGAGGAGACGAGAAAGCAGCTAAGGGGGTCAGGAAGGAACTGACAGTGCAGCGAGAGTGGACAGGGGTGTCCAGAAGACAAGTGCATAGCATTCGAGGCAGGAGAGAAGCAGTAACTGTGCCAAAACCTGTAGACAGCCAAGTGAGACAGGGCTGAAGCTTAACTACCAGTCTATCGGCTTGCAGCGGGACGGGATGAGAGGATGGATGCATGAATCTTGTCTCTGAGCATTAACAGCTGCGAACTTCACATACAGAGGCAACGCGATGGTGTACACCTTGTGACAGAACACACTACCACCTATGAAGCGGTTTTGCCAAAGCCTGAATCTATCTGATCAGTTTCTGCAGTCAAATTCCAATTAATAGGAAATATGGCAGATAGAGGAACATGTTAAATGAACAAACATGTGAGGGTGGAATCCAGACTGGAGAAATCTATAGGACAAATAGCCCGGTTTCTTCAACAAATAAAAAGAGAGAGATGTAGGGAAAACTTTAGCCTAAGACACTTAGAGACGTATCAACCAACTATGATATGTGGACCTTATTTTAATTCTTATTCAAACAAACAATTTCTTAAAGAAAAAAAGGGAGTTGTGAGACAGCTGGATATGTAACAGTTGGTATTTGATGATATTAAGAAATTTTTGATTTTTTAGACATGATGAAATTGTTTGATGTGATAATAGAACTGCATGTGTATACAATCGGCTGGGATTTGCTACAGAATTACTGAGAGTGGCTGGGTAAAAAACAAGATGAAGCAAGATCAGGTACAAGCTGGTAAGTGCTAGAATGGGTGATGAGTAAGTGGGTGTGGTGGAGGAGGCTGCAGGATACTATTCTGTGTGTTTTTTTGTATTTCTGTATATGTTTATTATGGGAAATTCCAAATAGTAAACACACACACACACACACACACACACACACACGCGCGCGCAGAGACAGAGAGCGAGCACGGGTGCAAGGGGGTGGTGGTGGGTGGGACACAGGTCTTGAAGGGTATTCAGAGCAGGCCTGCCCTGATAGGGCAGGTCAGATGGAAGGGAACAGCAGTGCAAAAGAGGAAGGGACATGTGCTGAAGTCTGTCCCCAAGGGGGTGAGAGGGTACAGCGTCTACCTTAGGACTATGGCCACTACGCCTGGCAGATGATAGTAGGGGTGGACTCCTGTGCTGACTCAATAAGGAACAGAAACAAGGGGCTCCTAAGGAGAGGAGAGAGTGCCGGGGAGTGGGCTGAAAGGTCGTGGTGTCGGGACTGCTGGGCAGCCCCAGATGACCATGTAAGGTCAGCGGTCATGTGGAGAACCAGACTGCCACCCTGACTGTGCTCTCAGAAGTCAACAGAGTGGCAGAACTCAGAAGAGGAGGGGCAGGAACTGAGGGAGCACATCAGGGAGTGACTCTGGTGATGGACTGACATCATGTTGCGAGGCATGGGAGGGCACGGAGGGGATGAACATTGGGAAGAGCTGGGAGCAGCCACAGTGAAGTCCCACAGGCACTGAGAAGTGCTGGGGTCTGGTGCTAAAGGAAGCAAGCTGGAGCAGCAGGGGTGCTGTGTGAGAGATCTGGGATGGAATCTGGGCACACTGGCGATGGGGGTACATGCCTGGGAAGCTTGTCTCAAACTCCTTTGAGATTAAAAGAGCCCTTTGGGCAGATTTTAAAAATAAAAGGCAGCAAAAACCAATCCTAGATAAAGATGCAGCAAACTCAAGGGAAGTCTTGCATATGTTCTATGGAGAGTGAATCAGCAGTCATTTGGGAATCCCCTCATCTTATTAAACAGGAGCCTGGCCTGAACAGCCAGTGCTCTTCAAAGTGTGTTACTTCACTGAAGAACTCTAGAGAGTGGTGAATTTCAGCTTCCCAGTACTAACTCCCAGTTTGACTTCTGCTAAAACTAGGCAACACAGCACTGGACTGGGGTCACAAGTCTTGCTGCTGGCACTGAAAATTCAAGGAGCAGGCCCTGAGCTCCTCTGAGCTCCCATCTGTATCCAAGGTGGGCCCTGCTGGCCTTGCAGGCTTATATAAGGAGGGAATGACCTAGATGCTCCTAGAGATATTTTGCAACTCTAAAGGTAAGGTATGGTAACAACAACAACAACAACGAAAGGCAGAACTATCACTTGTGTTGTAATAAGACTGAAATTTTGGTTTTACACATGAAAAGCTTATCAGCATTAAAGAAGACTTGGTCAAAGAGCTGAGTGTCTTAGCTTGGCAAAAAAGCAGCATTTATAGACACTGCTTTCTTGTACTTTGGAAAGCATGGGTATCTCTACTCTGCACGACAGATGCCATCCCAGGGAAGGATTCCTTTGCCACCCACTTGCTAGGGACTTTCTGAAGCATGACTTCATTTTGTCCTTACGAAACCTCACGAAGTTAAGTATTATTTCCCCGATTTTACATAGGAGGAATTTCAGGTTGAGTGAAGCTACTATGTCACCTGGCCAAGGTAACACAGCTACTAAGTGGTAGAGCCAGTGTTGATTCCAAGGTCTCTCTGATTATGTTTACAACGGGAGAAAAAATGGTACCTGGGGATTATAATAATATATCTTCTACAAAAGTATTATGTATTCTGCAAAAGTACGGTGCTTTGCTAATGAACAAATATGAATTTATAAATAACTTTTGTCATTTAACGAGTATTTACTAGGCATCGACTACATCCCAGGTGCTGCTCTAAGCATTTGGGATGGATCAGTGAAAAAAGGAGATTAAAACCTTGGGCCCCTTGGAGGGGTTAGTGACATTTTAATTACATGTGAATGTGAAAAAGATAGATCTTACCTTTCTGAGGTAGTTTAGGAAGAACTCTTGGGCCAAGGGCAGTCTTTGCAGAACTGGTGCTAATTAACAAATAAGAATCATTTAGGATCTAAAAGTGCTAGAATATCATTAGTGATTCAAGGAAATTCAAGGCATTTACATAATCATCTAAAGAATGCTTTCAAAATTTCTTTAACCAAAGATTATAGTCTATTTTCCATATTTCAGTTTGCCTGGCTGAGGAGGCACAGTGAAAGGGTGAAAAAAATTCCCTCTTAATGATAAAGCTCAACTCCTCCATTTCAAAGCATTTATGAAGGGACCTGGCACACTCTAAGTGGTGACCCCAATGTAGTCCATAGAAGTAACTCATCCCACATGATCCCACACAACAGCTCTGTGTTTCCGGTTTCCAGACAAGGTAATGGAAGGGAATGAAGGTGCTGGTGGCTGGCAGAAGGTCCCACATGGGTCAGAAGTGGAAGCGGAAATTCAGCCCTAGCTCTGCTGGCCTCCAGAGCCCTCACTTCCTCCACTATAGCAAAGAAAAGAGCTTGGTTCTCGGGCCTCCAGGCTCTCCTTGGCCTTGCCCTCCTTTTGGAGGACAGGTAAATGAGGGCGACAAAGGCCCAAGTCCCTGGAATACAGGTCCACACTAAGTTGTCTGAATCATCAAACGTTAACTTCTGTAACTGAGACCCCAGTGCTGTCAGGGGTCTGCATCAGGTGGAAGCCACTACTTCTCTTCAACAAGAGGCTTTGAGGCTTCGGCATTCTGAGAGGACGCCAGGAGGCCTGCATGCCTGAGAAGCAGCAGTAGCTGAGTGCCTGAGCTCCACCTGCCAAGAACCCCTTTATTATCTCGTCTCTCCGTGCCCTGATGTCCTAAGAGTTTGGCTGCTGCTGTTTTTTTCTATCCTAACTGCATTTAATAGAAAAGTAAAAGCCAAATCAACCAACAAAACAAACAGGAGTCAAAGAAAGAAGATGAAATGTGTGCGCTCCCTTCTGTCCTGGCTCTTGGCCAACCTTGGTCTTCACTGCTCTTTCCTCAGCTCACTTGAAATCCTCCTGCCTCTGGGCAACTGGGGGATCTTGTTGAGATAAAGCTGCCTCTAAACAAGAACAGTAAACATGAGAGGGCTTTGCTTCTGACATTTTTGGGGTGTATTTTTCTTGTGCTATTCCTCAGCATCTTCCTAGGCACACCCATGACTGGTGTGTGGGCAATGGTCATTCCTTGCCACGCTATCAAGGCCAAAGCCTAGAGGCTCAGACACTTCTTTTGCACAAGCTCCTGTGCGGTGCTGTGGAACCTGGGCTTGTTCCTATTAGAAATGAACATAGGACCCTTCTGTTGGTGGTACTGTGTGCAGTGAGGAAGAAGACTGAAAACTTAATGAGTTGGCTGGAAGCAGTGGCTCACGCCTGCAACCCCAGCCCTTTGGGAGGCCGAGGCGGGCGAATCATCTGAGTGATGTCAGGAGTTCTAGATTAGTCTGGCCAACATGGTGAAACTGCATCTGTACTAAAAACACAAAAAGTTAGCCAGACATGGCAGCATGCACCTGTAGTCCCAGCTAACGGGAGGCTGAGGCAGGAGAATCGCTTGAACCTGGGAGACGGAGGTTGCAGCGAGCTGAGATCATGCCACTGCATTCCAGCCTGGGTAAAAGAGGCTCCATCTCAAAAAAAAAACCCAAACAAGCTTAATGAGTTGCCAAAAGCTCTAGTTCACAATCAGCTTGATTTTGTTTAAAAACTTTTTTTTTTTTTTTTTTTTTTGAGATTAAGTCCTGCTCTGTTTGCCAGGCTGCAGTGCAGTGGTGTGGTCTTGCTTCCCACAAACCTCCACCTCCCAGGTTCAAGCGATTCTCCTGCCTCAGCCTCCTGAATAGCTGGGACTATAGGTGTGCCACATCATGTTTGGCTAATTCTTGTATTTTTCGTAGATACAGGGTTTCATCATGTTGGCCAGGCTGGTCTCGAACTCCTAACCTCAAGTGATCTGCCTGCTCTGGCCTCCCAAAGCGCTGGGATTATAGTTGGGAGCCACTGTGCTTGGCCAAAACTTTTTTGTTTGGTACAGGGTCTTGCTGTCACCCCAGCTGGAGTACAGAGGTGTGATCACGGCTCACTACAGCCTCAATTGCCTGGGCTCAGGTGATCCTCTCGCCTTAGCCTCCCGTATAGCTGAGACTACAGGCCTGTGCCACCATGCCTGGCTGATTTTTTTTTTAATTTTTTAATTTTTTTTTTTTTTTAGAAGAGACAAGGTCTTCCTTGTATTCCCTGTATTGCCCAGGCTGGTCTCAAATCCTGGGCTCAAGCAATCTTCCCATCTCAGCCTCCCAAAGTGCTGGGATTACAGGTAAGCTGTGTCCAGCCTTTAAACACCTTTTATGAGTGTTTCTGGATTGTCAGATACTCTCCCCATTCTGGAATATAAAGACCAGAACTTTAGTTTTACAGGGTCCCCCAAATTAGGGCTGAAGGAAGGTGAGTAAGGAATGAAAGGCAGGGTACAAGATCAAGGAAGGGGCGTTGAATGTGCAGTCAGGAGAACAAGCAGGCTGGAGAGCTGGCTCTGACATCTGCGCCCACCACCTAATGGCTCTGGGCCTCACTCTTCTCACCTGCAAAACTGAGGATAATAGTAATTGGGCCTACAGAGTACATATGATAATGGTATTTTAAAAAGGCTGGATATGGTGGCTCATGTTTGTAATCCTAGCACTTTGGGAGGCCGAAGCGGGAGGACTGCTTGAGCCCAGAAGTTTGAGACCAGCCTGGGCAACAAGCTGAGACCTCATCTCTACAAAAAAAATAAAAATAAAAATAAAATGAGCCAAGTAAGGTGGTACACACCTCTGGTTCCAGCTACTTGGGAGGCTGAGGCAGGAAGACCTCTTGAGCCCAGGAGATTGACGTTACAGCAAGCTGTGATTTTATCACTGCACTCCAGCATGGGTGACAGAGCAAAGCCCTGTCTCAAAAAATAAAGTGATTTTGTTTTTTCATCTTTCAGAAACTCTGGAAAGCAACCCCCACACACCATCTGACTCTTTCTCCCTGAAGTTTGGGTCTGGAAGTGGCTCTCTATCCTTTTCTCAGCACCTCCAGAGAAAACCCTTTGGGGTAGGGCTGCATAAAAACTGCCCATAAAAAATCTCCTCAAGTATACAATTTCAGTGAAAAAGGGGAAGAAAAGAACACTGCTGTCAGCCTAGTCTAAAAAAAAATCTTAGAAACAGAGAACTTGAAAAGAGTGATATTTTTATGACTGAAAATCTCTGGGTGATCAGATTTCCCTAAGGAGTATCTTTTCATTCCTAAATCTGCAAAAGGAGTCAAAAGGGAAAGTAACAAAGTTACTTGATTAAAGTATCAAAAATAAAAACTCATTCTGACAGGAATTTTGTTTGAGACCATTGCACAACCCTGTGACCACCGGGAAGTGAGGTTAGCTCCTGTCTGTGAACTGGGTAGACAGCGGTGCTGCTCAGAGCACGGTCTGTAGACCTGTGCCCAGTCCAGCCACAAGATGTGCATGCAAGCCAAGAGTGAACGTCTGGCTTCTCGTCGTGGCCAGCCCCCTCAGCTGACCACAGCTTTGAGCAGCACTACGAAATCCGTGAAAACTCATTTCTAGAATTCTGTCCATTTCATCAATGGATCCAACAGCGGCAAGGAAGTGCTGAGATGGCTTACCTTGACTGCTGGGATAGCCCCTCAAACTTGTTTGTGGTCTTACTTGAAGATGATGGACCCACATCGTTACCTACAAGGAAAACCAAATGTGAAAAGATGCATCTGTAGATGGGGAAATGCAATATGAGAATATATGGGTTTGGCCTATAGGTAGGCATTGCTCAAGTTCCAGAAAGGCATTTAAAAGACCCAAACTGAAGTAAGAGCCAAGATGGCCGAATAGGAACAGCTCTGGAGTGCAGTTCCTAGCAAGAACAACGCAGAGGGTGAGTGATCATCGCATTTCCAAAAGAGTTTTCACTGCCCACAGACCAGAAGATTCCTGGGCCGAAAAGAGCCACGAGTTTCCAGCACGGCTGTTTCAGCCGGTGCTGTGGGTTGGCACACAGAAACTCACACAAATCTGGGCAGCTGTTTCAACTGGCGCCTGGAATGCCTGGGAGACAGAGCTGTCCATACAACTGAAAAGGAGGGGGCTGAAATAGGGAACCAGGTGATCTGACTCAGCAGGTACCACCCCCACAAAACAAACAATCTGAAATGCTCTGGATTGAGAGTTTCACAGCAAGCACAGCTGGACCCAGGATGGTCCAGGTCACTGGGGGTAAGGGCGTATGCCATTACCGAGGCAGTCCACCACTACTGAGGTAGTCTGCCATTACCGAGGCAGTTCTAACTGTACCTCTATAAAAAACACCTCAAGGAAGTTCACACAACAGCTGGGCAGAGCCTGAAGCAGCTCAGCAATGCCTCTGCTGGCAGACTGTGACTAGACTAACTCTGTGCTGAAAAAGGCAGCAGCAGGTCAGAAACTTATAAATAAAGCCTGACCTTCTTAGGACAGAGAACCTGGAAAAAGAGGCAGTTATGAGCTCTGTTGCAGCAGACTTAAGCATACCTGCCCAGCAGCTCTGCACAGAACAACGGAGACACAGCATAGCACTTGAGCTCCTATAAGGGACAGACTGTCTCCTCAAGCAGCTCGCTGACCCCCGATACCCAAAGAGACACCTCATAAAGGAGAGCTCAGGCTGACATCTGGCAGGTACCCTTCTGGGATGAACAAAAAGGAAGAAACTGGCAGCAACCCTTACTGTTCTGCAGCTACTGTGGGTGATCCCCAAGCAGCAGGGTCTGGGGTGAACCTCCAGCAGTCCTGTAGCAGAGGGGCCTGACTGTTAGAAGGAAAACTAAGAAACAGAAAGAAATAGCTTCAACATCAACAAAAAGGACGTCCACTCAGAGACCCCATCTGAAAGTCAACAACTACAAAGACCACAGGTAGATAAAGCCACAAAGATGGGAAGAAACTAGAGCAAAAAGGATGAAAACACCAAAAACAAGAAAGACTCTCCTCCTCCAAGGGATCACAACTCCACACCAGGAAGGGAACAAAGCTGAATGGAGAATGAATCTGATGAATTGACAGAAACAGGCTTCAGAAGGTGGGTGGTAATAAACCTCAAAAAAAGGTTAGATGAAATGTTAACTAGAATAAACAGCTTAGAGAAGAATATAAATGACTTCATGGAGCTGAAAAACACAACACGAGAACTTCGCGAAGCATACACAAGTTTCAATAGCCAAATTGACCAAGCAGAAGAAAGAATATCAGAGATTGAACATCATCTCAATGAAATAAAATGAGAAGGCAAGATTAGAGAAAAAAGAGTGAAAAGAAATGAACAAAGCCTCCAAGAAATATGGGATTATGTGAAAAGACCTAATCTACGTTTGATAGGTGTACCTGAATGTGATGGAGAGAATGAATCCAAACTGGAAAACACTCCTCAGGATATTATCCAGGAGAACTTCCCCAACCTATCAAGGCAGGCCAACATTCAAGTCCAGGAAACACAGAGACCACCACAAAGATATTCCTCAAGAGCAACCCCAAGGCACATAATCGTCAGATTCACTAGGGTTAAAATCAAGGAAAAAATGCTAAGGGCAGCAAGAGAGAAAGGCCTGGTTACCGACAAAGGGAAGCCCATCAGACTCACAGCAGGTCTCTCAGCAGAAACCCTACAAGCCAGAAGAGAGTGGGGGCCAATATTTGACAGCCCTAAAGAGAAGAACTTTCAACCTAGAATTTCATATCCAGCCAAACTAAGCTTCATAAGCGAAGGAGAAATAAAATTCTTTACGAACAAGCAGTTGCTGAGAGATTTCGTCACCTCCAGGCCTGCCTTACAAAAGCTCCTGAAAGAAGCACTAAACAAAGGCACAACCAGTACCAGCCACTCCAAAAATGAACCAAATGGTAACGACCAACGACACAATGAAGAAAATGCATCAACTAATAGGCAAAATATCCAGCTAGCATCAAAATGGAAGGATCAAATTCACACATAACAATAATAACCCTAAATGTAAATGGGCTAAGGGAAATTGGATAAAAGGTTAAGACCCATCGGTGTGCTGTATTTAGGAAATCCATCTCACATGCAAGGACACACAGAGGCTTAAAATAAAGGGATGAAGGAAGATTTATCAAGCAAATGGAAAGCAAAAAAAGCAGGACCTGCAATCCTAGTCTCTGATACAATGGACTTTAAACCAACAAAGATCAAAAGAGACAAGGGCATTACATAATGGTAAAAGGATCAATGTGACAAGAAGAGCTAACAATCCTAAATATATATGCACCCAATATGGCAGTACCCAAATATATAAAGTAAGTTCTTAACGACCCACAAAGAGACTTAGACTCCCACACAATAATAGCGGGAGACTTTCACACTCCACTGTCAATAATAGACAGATCAATGAGACAGAAAATTAACAAGGATATCCAGGACTTGAACTCAGATCTGGACCAAGTGGACCTAACAGACATCTACAGAACTCTCCACCCCAAAGCCATAGAATATACACTCTTCTCAGTACCACATTGCACCTACTCTAAAACTGACCACATAATTGGAAGTAAATCACTCCTCAGCAAATGGAAAAGAATGGAAATCATAACAAACAGTCTCTCAGATTACAGTGCAATGAAATTAGAACTCAGGACTAAGAAACTTAGAAACACACAGCTTCACGGAAACTGAAAAACTGGCTCCTGAATGTCAACTGGATAAACAATGAAATGTTGGCAGAAATACAGATGTTCTTTGAAACCAACGAGAACGAAGACACAACGTACCAGACTCCAGGACACATTTAAAGTAGTGTCTAGAGCGAAATTTATAGCAATAAGTGCCCACAAGAGAAGCAAGGAAAGAACAAAAATTGACACCCTATCATCAAAATTGAAAGAGCTACAGGAGCAAGGAAAAAAAAAAAAACAACAATTCAAAAGCTAGCAGAAAAGAAATAACTAAGATCAGAACAGAACTGAAGGAGATAGAGACACAAAAAACCCTTCAAAAAAAAATCAATAAATTCAGGAGCTGGTTTTTTTTGAAAAGATCAATAAAATAGACCAATAGCCAGATTAATAAAAAAGAAAAGGGAGAAGAATGAAATTGATGCAATAAAGAACGATAAAAGGGATATCACCACCGATTCCACAGAAATACAAACTACCATCTATGGTAATACAAACAACTAGAGAAATACAAACAACTCTATGCACATAAACCAGTAAACCTGGAAGAAATGGATAAATTCCTGGACACCTGCACCCTCCCAAGCCTAAACCAGGAAGAAGTTGAAACTTTGAACAGACCAATAACAAGGGCTGAACTTGAGGCAGCAATTAATAGCCTACCAACCAAAAAAAGTCCAGGTCCAGATGGGATCACAGCCAAATTCTACCAGATGTACAAAGAGGAGCTGATACCACTCCTTCTAAAACGATTCCAGACAATCCAAAAAGAGATTCCTTCCCAAACCATTTTATGAGACCAACATCATCTTGATACCAAAACCCGGCAGAGACTCCAACAAAAAAAGAAAACTTCAGGCCAATATTCGTGATGAACACAGGTGCAAAAATCTTCAATAAAATACTGGCAAACTGATGGCAATAGTGCATCAAAAAGCTTATCCATCATGATCAAGTAGGCTTCATCCCAGGGATGCAAGGCTGATTCAACATACACAAGTTTATAAACGTAATCCACCACATAAACAGAACCAAAGACAAAAACCACATGATTCTCTCAATGGATGTAGAGATGGCCTTTGACAAAATTCAACAGCTCTTTATGCTAAAAACTCTCAATAAACTAGGTATCGAAGGAATGTATCTCAAAATAATAGAAGGTATTTATGACAAACCTACAGCCAATATCATACTGAATGGGCAAAAACTGCAAGTACTGCCTTTGAAATCAGGCACCAGACAAGGAGGCCCTCATTCACCACTCCTATTCAATATAGTATTGGAAGTTCTAGCAAGAGCAATTAGGCAAGAAAAAAAAAAAGAGGGTATTCAATTAGGAAAGGAGGAAGTCAAATTGTCTCTATTTGCAGACAAAATTGATTGCATATTTAGAAGACCCTATCAACTCAGCCCAAAATCTCCTTAAACTTATAAGCAACTTCAGCAAAGTCTCAGGATACAAAATCAATGTGCAGAAATCACAAGCATTCCTATACACCAATAAGAAACAAACAGAGAACCAAATCATGAGTGAACTCCCATGTTGCCACAAAGAGAATAAAATACCTAGGAATACAACTAACAAAGGATATAAAGGACCTTTTTAAGGAGAACTACAAATCACTACTCAAGGAAATAAGAGAGGACACAAACAGATGGAGAAACATCCTATGCTCATGGATAGGAAGAATCAGATCATGAAAATTGCTAGACTGCCCGAAGTAATTTATAGATTCAACGCTATCCTCATCAAGCTACCAATGACCTTCTTCACAGAACTAGAAAAAACCACTTTAAAGTTCATATGGAACTAAAAAAGAGTCTGCATATCCAAGACAATCCTAAACAAAAAGAACAAAGCTGGAGGCATCATGCTACCTGACTTCAAACTATACTACGAGGCTACAGTAAACAAAACAATATGGTAATGGTACCAAAACAGATACACAGACCAATGGAACAGAACAGAGGGAAACTGGACCCCTTCCTGATGCCTTACACTAAAATTAACTCCAGAT